GACGTTTCGAAATAACTACTCTCACATGAATAATGAATTACACGGAAAAATGATTTTCGTGAATTCAATATTATTTCGGAATATTCGTTTCGGAAGGACCTTATCTTTTTGTGTAATCAATGTTCATGTGAAAGTAGTTGTTTCGAAAAAGTTTTACCTTCAAGTTTGTATCTGAAAAAAACTTCTGTTCCCCTGTTTTTCAAATTTTTTGTTGAGTGATGGAGAATTAGAAAGCCAAAATGCTTTTTACATTATGTTTGTGACACACGAAGTTAGGCCATATTAACACAGCCAGGTCATTTTCATTTGTATCGAGAGATTTTGTATCAGAAAATAGTAAAAAATTATTTTATAGACACCTACTTCAAAGTGGTAATTTTCATTATTCACAAGTAAACTGAGTCACTAGTTGATTTTATCAGAAGACGGAAGGCAAAAAAGTAGACCTGACAAAACTGAGCACGGCGCTTCTCACGTGTGATTTATTCTTCATCTTCAATAGATTGATTACAATATTTCGAAGTCCGGCTTCGTTGTGAAAGATACAATATCTTCTCTCTCACGGCATTATAAATATCACTATTATATTGTAAATAATACTCAGCTTCAATTACGACATTACAATTTTTTTGCTTGTTTTGGATAACAATTCTTCGTCAAGTTTGTTTAACCCTAATTTTTTTATTGATTATATCTTGATATTTATTCTATAATTCTGAGCAGAGAGAAATCCAACAAATCAAAAATTGTTGTTACTGACACGATTTGCTACTTGGTTTTATATATTAGAGATTCGCGTGAACATTTACCACTACAGAGTCTACGCCGAGATACCAAACAAGGCCGTCGATTAGTGCGTGCTCATAGAACTTGGAATCTTTTTAACAATGTCCGCAAATTGACTTGTTCAAGTCATTGTGTTTTTCGCCACCAACAGCACGGTCCAGTGCCATGCACGTTTACATGTGATCCAACCAAATGGGTACACCTAATCAGCTGACTCCAATTTTTCCTGGGATTTCTGACTTTCGGCCAACCTTCAACAACAACAGAAACCCCCGACCAACGAAGTAACTAAACCATGATTTATTCCACAACAATGAGTCAACAAAAATTTCCAGAAAAAATCCAAGCGATCATTTTTCTTCAGTTGATGGAATAAACTTCCAAGAATATCTCCTAGCAATAGGAAATCTCGTGAATCCCAGCAAACAAATTATATTTGCACCAAGGATCTCCGACAACTGAATCTGTATTTACGTCTCTAATAAAAACTGGTAGACACGTTCATGCATTAACACCGTTTAATCACTATAGGCACCGTACATAAGTAAACAGAAGTAAATTCACTCCCATCGGTCTCTTTGATGTTTCGGGTCGAGATTTTATTTTTTGCTGGCATGAGGCGGGGTAGGAAGGTGTAGGCTAAGAGCTGTTGTGCACCTCTGCTCAAAGTTTGATCAAAAATAATGTGACTATGATCTGACTTCATCATTGCTACGAGGAGCTCCCAATAAATGTCTCATAATATTGTGAACTTTTAAGGAATTCATGAAAAATAAGACAAGGTGGTGAAATAAACGTATATTTTATATAGCAAGATTATACAATTTAGGTCAAAAACTTATGCTGATATATTTTAAAGGTTTTTCAGAATGATGAGTTTTTGATTTTTTTTAAACATTTGTTTTCAAATTTCTATTGGCAAATTTCAAAATATAATAAATACTTACCCTTGTGAAAAGAGAAAATAAATAATGCAAAGGAAAATTATCACAATCAGTGGCACATAAATTGTTGAAAATTTTGAGAAATTATGTCTCTAGATGAATGATACTTTGCAAAAATGAATCTGGAGGCATATATAGACTTCCAAACTGTTTGGCTACTGTATTACTATATGCCTTGAAATTACTATATACCTACCTATATTTGTTTCATTCAGTGTCGTACTACCGCCGTGGCAAAATTTGTACATACCTACTTCTCATTCTCATGAATGTTTCCTTAAACATTTTCTCAAAAGATATCCACAAACATAGCCCAATCTGTTGCCTTCTGGGGTATTGTATATTCATCTACTTTCCAAAAGTCATCGAAAAAATGGTTTCTGCTACATTTCAGCAGATGTAAAATATTTTTCTCATCAACAAAGAAATGTGGCTGCTCTACAGTCACTTCGAGGTCTTTTCTGGCAAGTTTATAAAAATTATAACACAAATCTGAAATGATACCCCTAACTCTCAATCCAATTTTTGATAATTGCCTAACAGCTTCAATCACAATACTTTTTATATCCAGTATTGATGTGGATGAACCGGTTGAACAGGCTGTTTCCAGTTCGAATGTAAGCCTTTTTCCATGACTACTAAGGCATTTGCAGAATTTCATTTTGTTTTTGAATCGTTTTTCTGAAATATTTTTTATATTATTGGGTTGTTTGTTGAAAATCAAAACTTCAATATAAAATACAGATTTTTCAGTTTTGGGTTGCCTAGTTGCGCTGTAGTTCGGCCGCGCATAAAATTCGAGGTGGGCCCAAATATGGCGAAGAGTGAACTTACTGGTGTTTACCTCTATACGGTGCTATAGGACATGGAATCTTACGAGCAAGAAGACTAATTACCTCGTCTGAGAGACTAATTTTGTCCAACGTCAGCCCTATCATTCCCCACTCTCTTCTAGAACATATTCTCCATCAAATAGACCTGAAGATATTGTCACCAATAAGATTCCTGCCAGTCAACATGTCAATCCCGATTTTGCACAGAACGCGAGTCTACATAAATCCACCAGATGTCAACATTCCAGAATCAATTTTAGGGACAAAATATACCTGTCACTTAACCTATATCTTTCAAATTTACTGCAGAGAGCATGAGATTTTATGGTACCTACTTGAAATAAAAGGATAAAGGTTGTTAATATGTCCTTACCAGATAATCATGCTTTATCACCCTAAAATAATTAATATGTATAGTATTTATAATTTATTGGCCTGTTCTCCACATAATTTTCACTATTGAATACGTATTTTTACCATTTTTGTTTATTTGCCTGGTTTTACAAATTAATTGAATTATTGTATCCCCTCTTTTCTATAGTTAAAACTGGATTAGAATTAATAATCTGATGGCACCGTAGAAACTTGTCCAGAATATGAAATATTTCAATCTAAAAGTAGTTATTCAAATCCTACGTGAGGAAGCTATTGTATAGCAAAACACGTGTCGCGGTTCTGTAAATTTCCGAATTTTGTGAAAATATAATCGAATGTCACTTGACCTTATATGGAGGAAAAATTTCAAAAAATTTAAATAAACAAAACAATTTGTATCCGACTCTTGAAAATTTTGTAGATGTTCATATTTTTTCCAATTTGCGGATTCATCAATAACTTTCCTAAGACAAACCACGTATCAGAATCAATAAGAGCTATTTCTGAAAAATATATAGTGGAATTGGCCGCGGTGGTAGCGCGCCCGACTCACGATCGGAAAACCGTGGGTTCGATTCCTGCCTCGACCAGATATTTTTCTCGAAAGAATTTATCTGGTTGAAGCTGATAACGGCAAAAGTGGAGGAGTGGGGGTGGTCTGAAGTGGCGCTTCTCCTACTTTGTGGAGATCAAATCGTAAGTTGTAGTTTATGAAATTATTAGCTCATGGTCACAAATATGAAGCGTACAATGTATGTGAGAAATAACGGCGATTATTATTATTATTCAAATTGTTTGCCTCTTGTGATCCAAAGTTGTCTCCGGAAATACATATGCTGTCCTAAAAATATAAATTTGTCTTTGGTAGTGCAAGGTTCCTCTACTCTACTTGTTTAGAGACGACTGACTTCAATTTGTTTTCTCGGAAAATAAATAACTCATTGAATAAATGCGTTTGTTTTTCATTTTTAATGATCTATTTTGTCTACGTACTGTTGTGTGTTCTGTTGGATTACATTGAACATGAAGGCACGGCAATGGAAAACCTACTGAATTTTATAGCTAATCTGTTCATGAGCAGATTTGAATTGGAAGCAAAAGACGTTTTAGATAACTTTCCACGGACTTGGATATGATGTATTTGCGTTCTTTGACACAAAGAAATCAAAGATGAAGGACTTAATAATAGATATCCCCAAATATTAAGTTTGCATATGAAATTAAAAACAGCGAGGAGTTACCATTTTTAAAGTCATTAATCTGTGAAAAGTTACTTCAGTAAAGCAAAATTTTGGATTCAATGTTCGTGTTCCTCCAGAAGAAATTTTTTTTGTTATAATATTTTTCATATTATTAATAACAAGAGGTAGTAAATTTACCTATAAAGCCTCTAAATACAAATTACATTAACAGATCATTATAACTGATTAACATTAAATATAGAATTTCATAAACTACACCTCACGATTTGATCTCCACAAAGTTTGTGGAGATCAAAACGAGAGGTATAGTTTATGAAATTACCATGGACCTTCATCAAGTAACGGCCGAATCAATCAGAAAATTAAATATAGAATTGTATTATTCTCAATTTAAAATCTGTAAACAATCCATGTATAAAACTAGAATGAATATTTTCTTTTTGATTGGATATCACTTAAATTTCTTGTTTTATACGGATGGCTAGTACTTGAGGAAGCATATAATTTATTTATTTACATGTATATCAATATTGTTGGAGATTAACAACAAAAATGAATTTGAGCCACATTATATTTATATATTTTTGATTAACTTGAAAATATAATGAATATTTTCTTTTTGATTGGATATCACTGGAATTTCTTGTTTTATACGGATGGCTAGTACTTGAGGAAGCATATAATTTATTTATTTACATGTATATCAATATATGAATATATTTAGATATATTCACTACCTTGCATTCTTAATTCTCAATTATATTAGGAAGCTCACCAGGATCAGTTGATTTTTTAAGCTTACTTTTTCTAAAAAGGAAACCTTTCGCTTGTAAAACAGGAGACAAATATAAACCACACTATGGACCTTACATTATTTATTGAATATACAAAAAAATTAATGATCTTCTTAAATTACTTTCTCCCTAAAATTCTACTGATAATAAAGTTCGATATTCATACCATCGTGTATTTCATCTAGGATATATATTAAGAAAAATGAAAAAACATGCCTTTGAAAACCAGATAATTTCAATTCAAATTACATTAGATAATGAATTCATCATAGGAATTTGATGAATTTTATAAATTGAATATTGTATTTAATATGATAGATAAAATTGGAAGCTCTGACATAAAGAGAACTGTTCAAAACAAGCAATCTTGCACAAGCACATTGAATTACATAAAAGAAAAATACTTTCAAAATCACTTTTCTCTATTCCGTTTGTATTCCAAACATTCGTATAGATTCCTACACAATATAATTAATGAAAGAAGTAAAATTTCGCTTACATGGAACACTGTCATTCTCACAGCTACACATCTGATGTTTTGCCGTAGAATACTTGCCTTATCGGCTCTTTAGTAGCAAATACAGATAACATTATGAGAAAAAAACACTCAATTCATTCATAAGATTATGACTTTTTGTCACAAAATGGGTTGAACTCGCCCATGTAATTGATGACAGTACATAAATAACATTCATTTGCTTATTTAACTAAATCCCAGCCATAGGAATCTTGTTTAAATTAAAAGGGTATATTTTTAGGAAAGAAAGGTTTTGACTTTCTACTTCTCCATCTTGATACAAAAAATGTGAGAATCTTCCAAAGAAAGGAAGCAATCAAT